AAATTTACCAGAAAGAGCTAAAAGAGATCAGGCCTGATTCTGTAAACACTGCGGTATTGTGTGCAATGTGTCAAGGGACAGTGATCTACTGACACTGCACTTGCTGAGGGAGGGAGCGCAGGGAAATAAATGCAGGTGCTGGCAGGTGCTGATCCCACTAATGCTGCATTTTTGGGGACACTATGCTAATGTGAACGCTGGTATAGTGCTGATCTGATCAAAGATATTGATCTGTTTGGACACTACTATACTAGCAATGGAGGTTTATTGTGTATGTGAGCGTGTTCCTGGCAATCAAGGGGTTAAATGTGATGACTGGTGTAATAACAGGAAATGTGACGCTATCTGGGTGGGACGCTAACTGAGGTTAATGCTATCTGAATTTGCTGACCAATACAGTGTTCAGTAAAAAAATCTGTAAACTGTACTAGTGACACTAGTGATAGGGCAGTGAAGGGGTTAAATGGGGGGGCGATCAAGGGGTTAAATGTGTTCTAACTGTGAAAGTGTGCTGCTTGTACTCACTGTGTCTTGTTTCTTCTCTCTATGGGGCGGAATGTGTAAGTTTAAACACAGGTACAGGAAGATCTCTGATAGGGCCTCTGATCGATCATCCAATTTAGGTCGAACATCGCTGGCCTAAATTGGATGATTGATCCCTTTGGGATCAAATCACGGCACCCAAAGGTCGGTGGGGGTTCCCCCCCCCCGTGAACACTGCGGGAGCATGAATCACGTATATACAGTATATGTGATTTTGCGCACCTGTGCCGCCCTGTACAAGCGTTTCTGCTATAATGCAATTGGGAATATAATTTGGTGAGGAGCACGTCTTGCAATGTGGTTTAAAAGGTAATATTAAATAAATCCTTTATGTAACATGCTTGGGCTTTGCCTTAAACCTGCACAGTAGCGCACCTGTAGGATGTACTCTTAAAAAAATGACATTAAAAAAGCACCACCGCCAAATGAAAGTTCTTTCCTTGTCTGCCTTTGTTTGTGAACAAAGCATCATTTATGATCAGGGATGTCAGCAACGTCCACCAGCCAGTTTGTTGATATTTGACAGCCAGCCATGGAGCTATCATTTGTGCCAGAGGAATCAGTGGAATAGGTTAATTATGGTGCGAGTTGTTTTTCTGTTGTGCATCATGCTTGATGATGGTTCTACATTGTTGAATGACATGTTTGACGTTGGATTTACTTTGTTTAGTATTTTTTTGTAATAAGCATTACAAATGTTTATTTTGTGTTTTTGCTTTGAAAAAGGATGTTTTCAACTATGTCAGTGTGTTTATTTACTTTTTCTATCTTCTTGTGAATGAGTAAAAAGAACTGCTATGTACCCCTTACTCATTCACACAGAGCGTGGATATTTCAGGGACCCCATTTTTTAAAGTCCACCACAGACCTCTTCAAGGGGCCTAGGATGTGGAAATGAAGTTATTGTCCCTATCAACATGGGGAAAAGATGCCTTGCTATGGAAGGTGGAGGGGAGGAGTATTCTGGGAAGGTACCCTGAAAATGTTGATGTGAAAAGGCCTGCTATGATTCAGAAGTGGCAGGGGCAAACACTTGCTTCCCCACCCTTTCCTGACCAACCAGACTGCATCTCTGGATAAGGTACGGATATGGATTTTGGGGGGAACTCACGCTTTTTTGTTTTTAGCTTAGGGTCCCCCTCAAAGTCCATGCCAGACCATTAGCCACAATAAATGTTGAGGGGGGCTACATGCTGTTTAGTAAGAAAAAATGTTTTCTTACTTCAGGACATGTAGTCTGGTAAGCTGTATGAGTTGGGGGGGAAGGAACACTCTGCATCCCCTTTCCTGGATAGCCAAGCTGCATGCCCAGGAGGGTCAGGTGAAAATGTTAAAGCAGACCCCATTCACAAGGCAAACAAAAAGAGCAAGAGGTTTCCACCCATAACCTATTCCAGACCCTTATCCAGTCTTGCAGCCTACTTGGCTAGTAAAATGAGAGGCTGGTACTGGATTATCCTGCTTTCTTCCAGCCCTGACCTTGACTTGTCTCAGGATAACATACCAGCTATTGCCTCCAAGACCACCACCAGCCTCTGGAAATTCTTAAGGACGCTCTCCAGCAGCGTTGGATCCTGTCTGAACCAACCATAAAACTACAGGCACCATTTTTTTTTATCAGCACTCAGTCTCGGTGCCATCTGGCCAGGAAATATAGAGTTATGAACTAAGAACTGGAGGCAACCAAGTACAGGTAGGCTTATGGGGACAGGGACTGCTAAAGACAGAAAAAACACTTGCCAGCTATAGTTCCTCACCTAGGCATTGGACTGAACATCACAAGTGTTTAGAGCTGAAGTGGTAATGTTTTTTGATGCTTTTCAATAATCATTTGAGGGTACTTTCTGGGCTATTCTAGAGAAAGCTATTGTACTTTACCATGGGCCTTTAAAGATGTGAGCAGGTATATGTGGTGGCATTAAAGTAAAGGGTCTTATAACCCCCAGTAACTGGTCAATTACAATTGAATGTAAACACTGATGCTTTTAAAAGCCTGCTTATGCTTTCTTGTTGACATACATTTGTTATATTGTGATTGTTTATATGATGTATGTCTTTTAGATTTGTTGGTTATTATTTTATTTTGTTTAGTTTGCTTAACCACTTGCCCTCCAGAGGATTTACCCCCCTTTCCTGACCAGGCCATTCTTTGCAATACGGTGCTACATTACTTTAACAGACAATTGCATGGTCATGCAACATTGCACCCAAATGAAATTTATGTCCTTTTTTTCCTACAAATTGAGCTTTCTTTCGGTGTTATTTGATCGCCTGTCCATTTTTAAAATTTTTTGTGCTATAAATTTTGAGAAAAAAAAAATTTTTTTTACTTTTTGCTATTAAACATGTCCAGTAAAAAAATTTAAAAATCAAATGTTGTCATAAATTTAGGCCAAAATATATTCTGCTACATGTCTTTGCTAAAAAAAAATCCCAATACGTGTAAATTAATTGGTTTATGTAAAAGTTATAGTGTTTACAAATGGTGGTATAGATACTGGATTTTTTTTTTAAACTAGTAATGGCGGCAATCAACGACTTATAGCGGGACTTATAACAGGCATTCTGACACTGGGGGGACCTGATTTGGTGTCACTGACATTCCCAGTGACACCAATACAGTGATCAGTGCTAGTAAAAAGCACTGACACTGTACTAAAAACACTGGGCAGGAAGGGGTTAATATCTGGGACAATCAAAGGGTTAACTGTGTGCTGTTTCACTGTGTTGGCTATGTGTGTGCTTCCCTGTAAGCACACTGCCTTGTATGGCTCTAATGCCTTGTATGGCTCTGCCTTGTATGGTGCTAATAAAAGGCACTGACACTGTACTAATGACACTAGACAGGAAGGGGTTAACATCTGGGGTGATCAAAGGGTTAACTGTGTGCTCTTTTACTATGTGGGCTGTGTGTGCTTTACACTGCAAGCACACTGCTTTGTTTGGCTCTGCTATGCAGAGCCATACAAAGCAATGTGCAGGAGTTGACAGGGGAGAGATCTGTGTTGTATACACAGGTCTCCCCCACGTTGGAGATACTCGGCGATCACCGGACAGGTGTCGGTGAGTAATCACCGGGCGGGACCCGGTGACTGACAGCCGAGGCCGCGAATGGAGTCACAAGTAGGGTGCGCGGATGGTGCACCTGTCCCCTACCCTTAACTGCAAAATCACATGTATATGTGTGATTCTCCACACCTGTGCCGCCCTGTAGCAGTATTTCTGCTATAGGGTGGTGCGGAACCAGTTAAAAAGGCTACTGTAGCTAGCAAACTTCAAATATGGCAGTGTGTATAATTATTTCAGTAATAATTGACCAGAAGACTCAGACTAGTCTCTAATGCTATAACCATAGAGGTAATAGTGCTGATGGTTTTATATATAATGTTATATTATTGTATAAACCTAATATTACGTAAACTGTATTTCTTGCAATATATAACTTACATTTGAACAAATGATGTATCTGAATTGCTTGCAAGAAAGAGCTGACCTTTCTTTTATTAAGCCCTGCTGTCTCCTTCAGTCACCCTATTAATAATTAATATCTCTATAAGCAATAATATACATTTCATAACTCTGTGACATTTTCTTCCTTGACATATATAATCTCTTTTAATCTGAATGCAGAACATGTAATATTAAAATACATTGTTCTAAATCATATTTAAAGTATACAACCTATAATACTAGTGCTTTGTTTTAAATACTTTTTTGGCACATCATAGTAAAACAGATAGTAATGATATCCTATATACAGTATGTAAAAAAAGTATTTTGTGTACTATAGAAAGGTTTGTAAAACTAATTAATTTATGTCCAATTAACAAATATAAGACAAGCATCGCAAATGCTACTTCTGGTTTGAAAAATGTTCTTTTGCCCATATACCATCTCTAAATAAAGAAACAGTGAAGCGGGTGAGATTAAGTAAGGGTAATTATTATCTACCTACTGCCCTTTATAGAGGGCATGAAGGCTATGAAGATAAAATTAATATATAGGACTCTAGGAATAATATACAAAATGCTAATTATGTTGTATGATAAAACAAATACACAATAAGTAATAGTAAAAACACCACCACATATAGAAAAATCTTAAGCATTTATTTATAGCAGGGATAATACATTTATACAAGGTTTTTTGCCATTAGGCATTTGATAATAATCACGCCAGTACAACTGCCAGTCATTGGAATTAAACTGTATAAGGAAAAGCATTCAGTACAGCAAGCTTGCAGAGTATACATAAACAATTTGGGGTTACATACTTTACAGTAAAAAAAAAAGTTTGATTTGATATTTATTATTGTGTTTTTGTTGACAAGCAAACTTTTCTTTAACCACTTCTGCGCCGCCCAATAGCAGAAATACTGCTACAGGACGGGACAAGTGAGCAAAATCACATATGTATATATATATATATATATATATATATATATATATATATATATATGATTTTGCATTTCCGGGTAGGGGGCGTGATTGAGCCCTACCCGCGCAGCCATTTGTGCCCGTGGCTGTCAAGCACCGGGTTCCGTGATTTCTGACAATCTTTGATGGGGAGGAGAACTGTTTTGCTTACCAACAGTTCTTCTCCCTGTCAGCTTGGGCACACTGCTTTGGATGGCTGTGCACAGCACAGCCATCTAAAGCAGTGTGCTTACAGTGAAGCACACTGACAAGTCCCCCTATGTAAAACACTCCCAGCACACAGTTAACCCTTTGATCGCCCCTCATGTTAACCCCTCCCTGCCCAATGTACAGTGTTAGTGCTTTTTATTAGCACTGATCACTGTATTGGTGTCACTGGGGATGTCAGTGACACCAAGTCAGTTTCCCTAGTGTCAGAATGCCCGCCGCAGTCTCGCAGTCCCACTATAAGTCGCTAATCGCTGTCATTACTAGTAAAATTTTTTTATCAAATTCCAGTATCTATACCGCCATTTGTAAATGCTAAAACTTTCACGTAATTAATTAATTTACACGTATTGGGATTTTTTTCTAGCAAAGACATGTAGCAGAATATATTTTGGTCTAAATTTGTGATGAAATTAGATTTTTAATTTTTTTTTTTACTGGACATGTTTAATAGCAAAAAGTCAAAAATATTGTTTTTTTTCTCCAAATTGTCGGTCTTTTTTTTTTATAGCGCAAAAAATAAAAACGCACAGGTGATCAAATACCACCAAAAGAAAGCTCATTTCGTGGGAAAAAAAGGAGGACACAACGGGCACCGGATCGTGGTGCTGCACGCTCCCAGAGAGCGCACACAAGCAGGGTGCGGGGTGGCCGTTTATAAACGGCCACCCGACCCTGCACTGCCACCGTCCGACCATTTATATACAACGGCCGGATGGGAGGTGGTTAAGGGAGGTGGCACTGCCCCCAGGCAGAAGGGCAGAGGCAGCTCTTTTATTAGTCCTCATAGCAGCCTGTGCTCCTAAACAGTCAGGGTCTGATGTCAGGGTGAGGAGAAACAGAATCCAGGAGGCCTCCATGGAAGAAGTCACATGCACACAGGGCATGGTAATGGAGGAGGCAGCTCAGTGTCGACGGTCTAGGGCAGCACAAAATGAAAATACACCACTGAAATTACAACTGATTTAAAGTGTATCTAAACCCAAAAGTGTAATGTAATATAAACAGTTTACCAGTGTTGTAAAAGTAGTGGGCTGGAATAGGTTTTCTTTTTAGGGTTTCCTTGCTTTTTTTTCACCTAGTTGGCAAGTCTGATATTTATCAACTTCCTTTAACAGATCAAGCTGCCCAGAAAACATGGCAGTTAGAGGTTTTCCCAAAAGAAAAAAAAAGTTGATGTAATTATTTAAATAGTGTTAGCTGGAGTTCAGCTTTCATTTGCTAGCTAAGTATAAATTTGCTAGTGAATCTATTACTACCCTCTCCACAAGTTGACAATGCAGCTGTCCAAGAGTGGCTCCATGAGTCTTCAATAGAGTGAAGTCACCCTAAGATAGCAAGTATGTTACTGTCTGGGTCACCTGGTGAAAATAAAGGACAAAAGCCTAAAAAAAAACAAAAACAATGCAGCCACCATATTTAAAGATCAGTAAGCTGCAATATATTACTTTTTTTTGTTGTTTTAGGACTTTGGTATGTTTTCATAAACTGAATGCACACTTTGCAAAGTGTACAGTATATTTACAAATAAGGTGAAGCTGTGTTGAATTCTATTAACTGATCATATGCTAGCAAATTTTACTTGCACATAATTGGGCATTTACAGTAAAGTGAATTCAATTTTACTCCCTATCTTTTTTTTTTGTTAACATTTATTTGGCTACGTGAACAGCCTCTGCTGTGTGCATCATGATGATGCTTCAGAAGAATGCATTGCAGGCTTTAGACACTTGTTTAACAGTGAAAGTAATTAAGTAGCAAGAACGTTATGGTGTTTAAGGTATAGTAATATTAGTGAAGAAAGGACATCCTTAGGGACTTGGAATTTACATGCAATTGCTGCCGGTGGCCACTAGCAGTAATCATTGTGTTTTGCTGGCTGGGAAGGTTTCCTGCCAGAAGAACACAATAGAGCTTCTAGAGGGATTCCCCCATCAACACTGACTGGGTTAATGGGAGAATCAAGTGTTTTTTTCCCTGGTTGCAGGAAAGAAAATTGAATCCTTTAAGGCTTGCTTTAGACTGCAAGTTTTTCTTTTTTTGTGGTTGCACTAATTATGCAATTATAACACTGGGAAAAATTTTATGTCAAATGTATTTTTCTATTTTTTCCCTCATTCTTCTTAAGAAGAATGAATAACATAAAAATATTTAAATCTGCCAACACACATAGTCCTATTGGTAAAAAGTATAATATGTTAGGATGAACTGCAAAGGTTATACTGTATGTTCTTTGGAGCATATTAAACACAGTTCTAAAAAGTTGTGGCTCTGAAGGAGTTTAAAAATCAGCCATTGCTAAAGTAGTCATATTTTCACTGTTCTGCTGCTATACGCTTGGTGAATAACCATAGTACTATTTAACTATTTAGTACCACTTTCCTGCTTTGCATTAAGTCCAGTCTTAGTCATCATTTAGTTCATATACATAGGCTACATAAAGAACCCGAATATTCAAAATGGCAACGCACGTCACTATTTAAGATTTATATGGAAGGTGTACTTTGAAATTCCAGAAAGCTTTATAATTTGGACTTTCAATCAACTCTTTACTTTTTTCTGCCCAAAGGAAGAAATGTTCAAAAATGTTGATTTACATTGTTGGTAAAATTACATTCCAAGCTACATTTTTCAGAAATATAATCTAGTGAATAATAACACAAGAAATATTGTGCTCTTCAATTTACTTGAGGTACTAAAAAAAAACTAAAATGTATTGCAGTTAGTGTTATATTACATTGCATAGTTTATATTTAGATTTTTATTGGTTCTTGCATATATATATATATTTAAGATTAGACACGAGTACTATATTATTCAGTGTATAATTTTGACATATCGGGGGTTTTTTGTAAGAATTAATTATAGTATCATAGTGAAATGGAGCGTAGTGTTGAAAAGGCAATAGAAGAAGAAAGCAAAACATATTTACTATGTAAAAACATAGCAAGGGCTACAAGGGGTTTCCCACTGCTTAAATTTCTATCTACATTGAGTATATCAGAGAAAATGCTAAGATTTGCTTCAACAAGTGACTTGGTAATTCAAGGGGTTCTTTCAGCCCTTATTAGTTTATTCACTCACACTGCTTTCCCCTCACTGGTGGGCCTCTGATTAATAATGGGGACCCTCCATTTATTATTTGGCTGGGGATGCATGGGTTTACGGGTGGGGAGTCTGTTTCCCTTCTATGTTATATCAGTATTTTACTTTCTCTTTAGGTATTTCCCTCTTTCTGTTTTATTTCAACTACCTTGCACACTGGAGATAAAGGACAAGGAGATCTTGCTTCATACTAAATGGACTTTTATGTTGTCTACAAATCTGATCAGTCTAGATTAAGTTCTAGTTTAAAGTATTACTAAACCCACAACAGTAAAATCAGTCTGTATATGCAGTAAAGCATGCTTGTTATATTCACCATGGAATCTAAGGGGTAATCCTCTGCATTGTGTACAAATAATGTTTGATCCTGTGTTCTCTCATCCACCCCTTATTCTACTTCCCAAATCCATCTGCTGATAGAACAGAGCCTTGGGGGCAAGTCTGCACATGCTCAGTTTGGTGTGCATTGCTAGAGAGTGTTTTTTTGGGGGGAGAGTGCATGATATCAGCACAAGACCAATCAGTGCTGTCCATACAGAGAGTCAGGGTTTGTGCAGCATCATAGGGCAATCAGAGGAGAATGAAAACTCCTCCTGCAAGCTTTAACCAGTGCTCTATTGGACACTGATAGAAGTCACAAGATTGCTATATACGTCTGATGAGAAAAAGTATTTAGCAGTTTATATTTACTAAAATAATTGCTGCGTGTACAGTTGGAGACCAGATATAGTGAATGCAGGGTCCTGTGTTTAGTAACACTTTAAGTAAATAGGTCCTCTCATCTATGTTTATCAGTTACTTCATTTTTCTGAACAGCAATTCATAGTCTTTATTATTGCCAATTAACTGTCAGAATTAGTTGTTACTGTGTTATCATGTCTCACTGTCTTGGGCCCCCAGATTTAAACACAACCAAATGTAAGTTTTACTAATTATCTAACACTACAATTAGAATGGGAGCACACTTGGAAGTGAGAGGATTGGTAATAGAAGATCAAAGATACCTTCTTGCTTTTCCTTTTGAGAGTTTAAAAATTCTGATTTCTAAAAATCCTTTAAAAATTTAATTTTGTTAAAATTATCTTTTGTTGGCCAAATGTGTATTATTTTGTATCTTGATATGTTATCCCCTGCATATCTTCCATGATATACTGTATAAATATTTTTTTGCATTGGACTTTTGCACAGTTGTGGATAATTATTACAATTTTGTTGTTAAACACAAAGGGCATGCTTTTTATGCATTACTTTTTTGTGTGTGCAAAGCATTTTCTGAACTAACCTACAGCCTTTCTGTTTTTGTGAAACAATTTCCTATGCTTATTTAGAACTTTATATTAGAGCACACATACCTAAAATGCATTCAATAAATTGAATCCTGCGTCATTTACTCAGGCTCTTAACAAAAGTTTTTGATTTTTCAGTGTAGACACCTGAGGAATAAACCAATGTGATCCCCTTCATCCTCAGAGTCTGATTGTCAGGGGCCCAAATGGGGAATATGTGCTATGCAGGAAAAGTTGAAGGAGGATTAGAAATCTTAACAACAGATGGATGACTGTCATGGATGCTGCAACTTGGGTATGAGACCTACTGTAACTTATGTTAGCATTGATCATGATGATGACGAAAAAGTCCAAATTATGGACTCAGACTCAGACAAGTTAGCACACATTGAAAGCTTTGTGTGCTTGCATCTTTTAAGAATGGGACATCTAATGAATATTTATGCTTTTTAGTCCTCACTACAAAGGTGAGACTGTTTTAATACTTTGCTAAGGAAAGTTAAATTAAAGTGACTGTTACTATTAAAAAACAAAACAAAAACAGGGTACTCACTGCAAAGAAAAGGATTACTACATACCTGTCATGTTATCTCTGATACCGGATTATGCTTTGTTGAAAAACTTGCAGAAGAGTCTTCAGCTTTCAACAAATTTCAAGTTTTAGTTTCCTGGACCCCCTTTGCACTGTGTGATTCCATCTGCTGACCCCTCCAATACTACAGGACAGGGTTTTGATTAGGCCATCAGATAGAGCCACAGTTTACAATGGGGGTACCAGACATCTAAATCAGAAGTTACATAGTTAGTCAGGTTGAAAAAAGACACAACTATGTCTAGTT